TTGTTAGGCCCCCACTGCAAATAAATGGAAAGAAAAGAAAAGAGAGCACACAACTTTTTAACATGGTTCGGCACCTCAAGACCTACTCCACGACCCCCTCTGGGATAAAATCTCACTAGTAATTTTTGCACGGAAAAATTACAAACCCTCTCCAATATTTGACACTCACAACCTAAAATCTAATACACAATTATATAGATTGAAGGATTGTGTTGTGTGATGGAAGCCTATATCTCCTCTTTATTTATAGGCTCCAATCCCTCCTCAATTTTCCTATCCCACCGATGTGGGACTTTGAAGTAACACTCAACATCTTTGATTTTGATTTTATGTCTTTTGTTTGAGTCAACAAATTATAACAGCCCTGTTTTTTCTCTGTCCTGAATGTTTCTCAATTCACATGCTGATTTTTAGTAAAGGAAGACCTTGGATATGTTGTTTTTCGGCATTCATCACACGTACCTAGGATGCCTTATATGCATAAAAGGTTGCAATGAACTGTCCACTTAAGCACATTTAGGGGCCGATTTGTTAGTTTTTAAACCTGGCTAGTTTGGATTGCATTTCTCTCCCTGAGATTCTGCATATTTTAAAGATGCATTAAAACCTTAAAGGTCTCATACCTGCTTGCTAGAATCTTAGAAAAATCTGCATTTTAGATGTGATTTGGTCAAAAAGTTTAGAAATTTTTAAATTTTTAAAGAAAACTAAGGTTAATGAAAAAAGTAATCGATCATCTCAAGAGAAAAGAGGAAATCATAATAGTTTTTTAATCTTTTAGCACTCCTAAGTGTTTGTATTTTTGCATTAAATAGAAATTAAATTTGTAACAAATATGTTTGAATTTCTTTAAGAATGAGTTTGCTACTATAAACTTCAAATCATTTCTTTTAAGTCAAATCTATTTGGAACTTGTTTTTGTTTAATTTCATAGCTTTCAATTAGCTAAATTCAATGTGCACAATTTATTTAGAAGTGTGTAGAGGAGTTTTCTCATTCTTTTTTCCCTAAGTTGCTTTTCAAGTAAAGTTAATCTTTTGAAAATCTCTTTTCTTTTCTAAGTTTTGGTTATTTACATATTATCAAGATGGTGAAAAGAATAAATATATATACTGGAACACCATCTTAGGTTGGCATGGGTGGCACGACACCTTTGTCCCCTTAAGCAACAGATCACAAAAGAAAGTGATGTTGTGTATGGAGAAAACCTGAGTTGGAAGAGCAAACCCTGTTTTGGGCCGTACGAATCTCGTCCAAAACCAGTTTAAAATATAAAATAAAAAGAACCAACGCCATTGAGCCAAAAAAACAAAGTGCAATAAATGGCTAGAAAAAAAAGAAAATAAATAAATGAGTGAAAATGTTTTGCCCTCGGAATACTTCGTTATTTAGGTCCTGGGCTATCTGGAATGGGCCTGGGGTAGCCTGGTTGAGACTCGCTACATGGGTCAACTCAAACAACTAAAATTTGAATATTAAATTAAAGCAATAAGTAAAAGTTTCCAGATTTCAAGAAAAAAAATAAATTTTCTTAAGCTTTTCTTTACTTGATTGCTTCTTAGGATTTCTAACTACTTTTTGCTGCTCTATTTATTTCTTTTAAATTGTTCTCAATGGTCTTAGTTAATTCAAAGTTTTGACATGAAATGAAAATAGTTTCTACTTAGCTTTGAAGTGAAAGAAATGTTTTGAAGTTTAAAGTAGCAAGCTGATTTTTAAGGTGTTTAATCTGTTGGTACAATTTTAATCTCTAGTTAATGTTTTAAGCAACACCTTTTATTGTTTGGAGATAAGGGAATTGTTATGAATTCTGATTATAACATGAAAAGAAGGAATTGATTGTCAAAATCTACTTTGCATGAGGGCGTGCAAAAGGCTAAGTATGAGGTATTTGATAAGTCTTTCAATGTTATATTTTATTCTTTCATATTAGCCCGTTTTAGAAAATTCCGAATGCATTTTAGACAAATTTAATCACTATTATGTTTATATAGCAATTTAGGCCATTATTTATATTTTAACCATAAAATGCATTCTATTTAGTGTTCTTTTACTTCCCTATTTTTATTATCTCGTTTACCTTGACGTAGGTCTTAAAAATTGCTTTACGAAGCATCAAAAGGCTCGGTGACGATGTCAAATTAGACCCTGGGGGGGGGGGGGTGGGGCTGTCAAGAATTATAAGAAGAATTGAAATGGGCCAAGTCACACAAGACTTGACCCAATAGGCCATTACGTAGCCTAATCCAGCGCAGCCCAAATCAATGTTAAATCACGCTAGACCCTAGCCAACGGACAATCTAAACGAGGTCAGGACATGCGTACCCTTCGTGTATACCCGCGGAGGACAAAATCGGCAGCGAAGAGGATTAGGACTCAAAGGGAAGATCTCAATTACAGCCCAACATGCAGCCTTATCGCACGAGTTTCCAGCGCAAGGAGCTTGAGACTCATCCTTTGTTTCTATCGGTGATAGAGTAGAGAAGACCCCGATTCAATCTTGAATCCTAATTCACTGAAAAAACAGCCCTATAAAAAAGCAGCAGCCGCAACGAGGAGAAGGGGGATGAAGAACACACCAGCACCGCGGTGACAAACCAGAGAGGGTACGACCGTTTGGGGGTCTGGACTTCGGTCCAGATCCTCCAATTTCTTCTTCTTTATGCTATTTTTTGTTTAGATTCTTATGTTTACAGTGGATGATTTTTCACCAAACAATTGTTGGTTTAGTTTGCGTGTAATTGGCTAGAATCATTTCCATAGTCTATTCAATTGGCATTCTACAGCTCAAGAACCGTCCATTGATTTTTTTGTTTCAATTTTATAAGCTTGTGCGGGTTTTGTTCATGTTAGGATAGAAAACTTGTGACAATAAAAGTTTAGTGGGAGCGTTATTTTTTTCCATAAGGTATGTATGATACATCATAAGTTTGATATCTGTACTTCAAAATCCATGGGGAGTTGAGTAGAATTCCTTATGGGTAAAAGCAAATACGCATTGGATATTGAATCTATTGGATAGATTAAATGGAGTTACTAGGTCTATATATAAGGGCAAGTTATTTGTAGATTCAATGTTGTTGATCTAAATACTTACATGTAATCCAAAGGTCTAAGTCTTTCAAAGACTTGATATACCTCAACGTAGGGATTCTAGGGAATGCATAGGAATCATTCATTATGAAACTACCTTTGGATCTATCATGAATATCATGATAAAGACCGAAAATGTTCTATTATAAATGTTATGAGTAGATAACATGCTAAGTCAGTGAATGTCACTGCATAGAAAAAGGAGCATCCTTAAGGTATTACGAGATACCACCCAACAATGGTGCTATATGAAATGAAGAAATCATCTTGTGTGATTTCCCCATACGCATAGTATACATTGCAAAAAAGTTGCATATTTTGAGTAGTAGTAAAGTAAGCTAGAAAAGCTTGATGGAACTACCAAAGTTCAACTATAGAAGTATATTACATAGAAGCTTTTGAAGCAACTGAGCAAGGTGTTTGGGTCGAGAGCTATGAGCTTAATATGGTTCTTAGTATGAAGATATCATCCGTTGTAAAGACAATGATGGATCGCCACACGCCAATGAACCACAATCTCACTAAGACTAAACACGACATCAGAAGTAATCACATAGATTATACAATGTAAAGATTTGCAAAATCGAAATAGATGACAATCTATAAATCCAGTGACCTAGGCTTTGGGAAAACCTAGACACGAGGGCCATGCTTCGTGCATGGTTATTTATGTAATGCATAATTGGCCTTAGTGCTAGTGGGAGATTGTTGAATATAAGTGAAGCCTAGAGGCCAACTTATGATTCCATATCTATATTATATCAAGAACAATAGGCCCTAAAGATTGTTTAAGTCGTCTCGTGTGATTTAAACATTGCTTTAGTCAATAGACTAGGTGCTCTAGTAATATAGATGAGAACTACGACGTTCTGATTATGAGATTGTTATAAAATAGAGGCTACATCTAAAATATCCTTCGTCGAATATTATGATAATACAGACATCACAATATATCAAGAGTAATACGCATGAGATGAAATAGTTGCGTCTCATAGGCTATAGATAAAGTGTAATCTAAATCTATGCGTAGGCAAAAATATTGGATATGTTGATGGATTTACCCGCTATGAGAATAATATATGGGTTTAATTTAAAGCGTTAATATTATTCTAATTCGACCATTAGTCTAACTATCCTTTGACTTGAAGTCATTGCGATCCTTGATAAGGTGAGTTGCATATTTTGAAGCACGATTTATGCCACTTGAAATAATTGCGCATGTACAATTATATTTTGGATATGCAATGAAACTTAAGTAGAGATGTGAATGACGTAGATAGAATTTATCCCTTCCTTTGTGAAGTATAATATCTTAAGGCCCACTGATTGATGTCACTTGAGAAGTGCATGGTCATGTCCAAATAAATATGTTATTTGAATCCCACAAGTCAATTGAAGAATTAGTAAACCATCGATTTAACTCTAACACGGTGACACACCCCATACCTTGTGTTAAATCAAGGTATTAGTGATAAAGGGATAAGAGTTATACCAACGAGATGTGTCGTTGCAGGAATTGTTCCAAGAGCTTTATATCTATCATTTGGGGGTGATAATGTGTTGCTAGATACCGCTTATCACTTATAGTATCTAATAAATACTATGGCCAATTTTATAAGTAGCTAGAATAAGGTCACACACATAGAACGTATGAAAAGCGTAGAATATTGAAGTGGAGTAAAGTTGCGTTTATATATTGCGTATAATTTATTGTGTTACAATATGATTAGATACCCAAACATATATAAATAAATATTTATATTTGAACATTTTAATTATGTGATAATTAAGTATGTCATATATAATGTATGTATATACAAAAATATATGTATATACATAAATGTGTGTGTGTCTATATATATATATATATATATATATATATATATATATATATGTATGTATGTATTTATGTATGTATGTATGTATGTATGTATAGGGATTGACTCCAGTGAGATGACACCTTACGGTGAGATGACATGCTTCGGTTAGATGATGCAAAACTTACGGTGAGATGACATGCTTCGGTTATGATGTTCCAGGATCGATGTACATATTTTTGTTAATGTTGACTACTCCCTCCATCCCTGAAAACCTTTGGATTACCACCAAAGGCATGACTACCCAGAAGACCCACTAATTTTATTGTGTAAGGAAGAGTTAGAGAAGTTGCTTCCATGATATGAGAAAGACTTTCTCTTCATACCTGCACTTAACGTACGAAATTCATAATAATGACCAAGTGATTCGCCAAACGACCAAATGTACCATGATTGCAAAAGAATGATGCGAAGCCTCGGCTATTACATTGGGTGCTCTTGTTACCGAAAATTGATGTGCAGGTCAAAGATTGAAAGGGATCAGCCAACCAAGTTGCCGATCATATTTAACGATTAGACGTGGATATAGCAGAACATTTTGGTTGGTGCGAGGTCAATGAATCCTTTCCCTTTGAAAGGATTAGTGCTGTCCAAGACAAGGATCCATGGTATGTCGACGGCCCGACACTGCCAACTACCTAGCTGGCAGAGTCGAGCCTACTTTACTGACGCCTCATTTGAGGAAGAAGCTTAAAAGGGAAGCCCATTTTTACTTTTGGGACGACCCTCATCTCTTTCGAATTTGTGCAGATCAAGTTGTAAGGCGTTGCATAAGTGAAGTTGAGGGACAAGATACTTTGGCAGGGTTCCACAGTGGCACAGTAGGATGCTATTTTTAAGGGGCGAGAACTGCGAGAAAGGTGTTGGATTCTGGGTTCTTTTGGCCAACGCTCTTCAAGGATGCTAACCTTTACGTCGTTGTCTGTGATCGGTGCCAACGGTAAGGAAATATGTCTAAGAGAGACGAGGTGCCGCAACATTACATCTTGTCTTGTGAAGTGAGTGTTCGATGTGTGGGGAATTGATTTCGTTAGACCATTCCAAAGTTCTTACGGAAACAAGTACATCCTCTTCCCTATCGACTACGTCTCCAAATGGGCTGAAGCACAAGCCTGCAAGAAAAATGATGGATGGACCGTGGTCCGATTCTTGATGAAGTTGTTTGTGAGATTTGCCGTTCCAAGGTTGATAATAAGCAACAAAGGTACCCACTTCCGCAATAATCCATTGTCTAAGGCATTGAAACGATATCGAGTCTAGCATAAAGGGGGTGTGGCTTACCACCCCAGACGCAGGGACAAGTTTAAAATGTGAATAGGGACATGAAGAGGATACTGAAAAATACGGTTGCTCAAACTAGAAAAGACTGGAGCGCAAGGCGTGATGACGCTTTATGGGCGTTTCGCATAGCGTATAAGACACCTATTGGAACAACACCGTTCCATTTGGTCTATGGAAAGTCATGTGATCTTTCAGTACTAGTTGAGCACAAGGCATTATGGGCCTTAAAGAACATCTGCCTAGATACATCTGAACCTAGAACAGAAAGGTTTTACCAGCTTGGCGAGCTAGAAGAGTGGCGAGCATTAGCATTTCGTAATGCTAAACTTTATAACGAGAGAATAAAACTTTACCATGATGCCCATATCAAGAATTCTATGTTAGCCTTGGTTTGTTAAGCCTCATGTTTTGATGTTAACAAACAATATAAGAGCTAACGTTTGTTTAAGTGCTTCAGGTACAACAAGAATCTATTAAGATTCGGTTCTCAAGAATGAAGTCGAAACACTAAACTAGCGTAGAATATAGGTAGAAATCGATGTAAGGATATGACTTTATATACCTATATTCACAAGCTTAAAAGCACTCACAGAATATGTTTAAAACCTTATTATAATCATTTTCAAACATCCAAAAGGTTTTAAATAAAATTGGAAATGATTTGGACAAAAATATAAAAAATCATCAGAACAGTCAAAAGGTATCCTATACCGTAACAGGTACCGTAAGCCAATCTGAGAAGTTATATCCTACCGTCAGGTCGGGACCCCCCTACCGTAAGGGGTATCGTGAGCCAACCTGAGAAAGTAACCCCTACTATAACCCATATGTAGGTACTGACCGTAAAATGGAGATCAGCTCCTTTTGCACTATGTCAGTATCCCCTACCGTGACCACACAACAGGTACCAACCGTTACGGCAGAGAAACAACCTAAACATTATTTTAACGGTACCCTATACTGTTTCAACGGTACACCCTACCGTTACCGTTGGAGAAAAAAATTCAAATTCCGGATTTCAAATCTAATCACATTTAATTAGTCAAAATCCTTCCAAATTTGTCTCCATCGGCTAAATTACTTTTTCCACTATAAATACAAGCTTAATTCTTCATATTTCAACATGAAACAAAGCTCCAAACATTCTCCCTTTATATTCTAAGTGTGTTCATTCTTTTATTCATAATTTTCAATATTTTGGCTATTTCAAGAGCCTTAAATTCCTAATTTTCATACACACTTTGAGCTTGTGTTTCTAGTTATATATACTCTCATATTCATAAGTTTGAATTGTATTTTTAAGAGAGTATAATTTCTTTCTACACCGGCTAATTTTTGTTCTTCATTTCTTTATTCTAGCCATTGTGTAGAATCCCCGTTTGTGTTTTTCAAACACACTTTCTTACGGTCGAGAATAGCCGTTAAATTCTCACATTATAACGGTTAAGGACAGCCGTATAAATCCTTGGGTAAAGGTTCAAGGACAGCCTTTGAAATCCTTGGGGGAACGGTAGAAGATAGCTGTTAAATCTTCAGTGTAAACG